CTTTGCCATCAACAAACTGTTTTTCCAATTAGTTTCTGCGACTTTTACAGTCCAAGCTCTTGGTATTTTCCAGGTGTGCACTTAATTCAAAACGGTGCTATCACGTTCTATAAAATTTAAATTGAAGGACACAGTTACCCTTCAAATAATGGACTTCTCGATTTGCGAGTTGTCATCTTAAAAGGATTCAGCGACACACGCAAACAACATTAATTAAGAGTTAAAGATGAACTGTTCTCTTTTCTCTTGCGCAGAATGCGACTTTTTGGCTAAATGAACAGTTCCTTTCAAGAAAACGGCCGTTTCTCCAGGCTCAATCACTGAAGTTTAACCTCGAGAACCAGAGGTAAAGCAATTTTGAATGATAAGTCATGATAATTGAAACATTTAATGTCCTGGAGCCGATTTTCCTTTGATTGAGCATAGATAACAGCAGCTAGAGCAGCTGTTGGAGCCCAACAAAGATCTTTCCTACACTATGTGGTTCGCTTTTTTGGCTTTGACTAAGTGTACGCACAACGCTAGTCTGTGCTACTGCTACCCTCCCAGAATGCTGCATGCAAGTATAGTTAAACATCGATACTCATCAGACTTACCACCTATTTGTCCACTTGGATCCCAAAAAATCTGTGTGGCAAAATGCTTTATCTGTNCATGCAAGTATAGTTAAACATCGATACTCATCAGACTTACCACCTATTTGTCCACTTGGATCCCAAAAAATCTGTGTGGCAAAATGCTTTATCTGTACCTCTGCATATTTTTCTTGAATCGTTTTATTCCCTTTTGAATGTGGTTTAAATTCAAGTAAGAAAGAGAACTTAGTGAGACTGAACATCCATCATAAAACAAAACAGTGTTGAAAACTAAATTTTGACGTCACTCGCCATTCAGGAGAGTGACTGTAAACTTGCCGGTGCATGGAAGACTAACGTTTTTTTCCTTCCGAAGAAACAAATAAATGCTGCAACAATAACATCAACGGAGACAATGCAGATTTATTTCCTAGCAAGCAAAATCCTTGTTCCTCTCGTGTGCCATCTGCAGTTCTCAGGCACTAACAAATCCCGACTCAAATAGAGACCAAGACATCGCTTCATAAACATTCAACCGTTGTGTAAATTCACTGCGAGGGAGCCGCATTTTATTGTGTCTGATTTCGAAACTCTGAGTTTTGTTTTATTAGCTTGGCAAATTAGTCGGGCATCACGAAAGATAAGCAAAATGGAAAATTAAAAGAATATTTATTAATATTAAGCTTAAATAATTTCCTAAAGATGAAAATCATACTAACCAAACGGCGAGTGATCAATGATTTGCACTCGCTCAGCGCTTTCAAACTCGCATGGGCGAGCGGGCGAGCGCTAATTCCTAACACTGTCACAAGCTTATATTAGAGATAATTATACTGGCTTTCGTCATAGGATTGACTGAAGGAATCGGCAGACAAGCGTAAAAAAGCTGAATGGCTGAAGATATGTGATCAACAAACGTGGTTGGTTATTTAACGACCCTGAATACAATTGAGAGACATTCTTCATGTACAGCATGGACCTGAAAAGCAACGAAACAACCACAAATTGTTCCAGCTCAACGTTTTATTGCAGGTACGCACCGAACATATCAGGGGAAATCGGAGGCTCAGCCAGTTTTTACATGATTATAGGCCTCACAACAGTCATGATTTCATTCCCTACCATTATTTTGAACGCATTGATAATCTTAGCGATAAATCAAAGGAAAGAGCTGCAAAAACCCTCAAACATTTTGTTGTCAAGCATGGCCTTTACGGATCTTCTAGTTGGCGTTATAGTTATGCCGACATTTGCCATCATCGATTTCTTTAAATTAAGTCAAGTTTCCCTTGAGCTTACCTGTATGTTATATTCGGTGCATCGTTTCTCCCTTAATTTACTCTTCAATGTTACTTTGCATCACTTGACTATCATTGCTTGGGAGAGGTACGTGGCGATACAAAAATGGATGGACTACAAGCTTATCCTCACAAATGACCGCCTCAAAAAGATTGCGATAGGTACCTGGCTCTCAGCGATCTTCCCAGCGACTGCAAACTTTATAACGACAGCGGTCGTTGTGGATCCTAGGATTTTGAACGGCTTTTTAACCGGGTGGACTGCTGTGGAAACTGTTTGTCTTTTTCTTGTTGCATTCTTTTATCGAAAGGTTTACCTTGGAATACGCAATCGGAAGCTAAACAACATCTCTCAAATCGACGTCCTAATAAAACGAAAACTGGAATCTAAAGTTGCCAAGACGACTGGTTTATTAACCGCTGCGTTTATATCCTCGTTTATCCCCGTGTTTGTTTTTGGTATCCTAGGAAATGCTGTGCCACTCTTTCGTTCGAATGCTGCTAGCCTGTTTACACAGATACTCATGCAGTTGAACTCTCTTTTTAATCCCCTGCTTTACTGTTATAGAGACCGCCGTTTTAGGAACGCTGTTCGAGAGCTGTTGGGGTTGAAAAAGCCTCAAGCAATACAGTCAGCAGTTGGTGCCGCTCAATCTTTCAGGCGAAAGGGTCCATTTAGGTCATCAGAGCTGCACATAGTAGGAAAACGTACGCAACGCTTGACAAGATCAGTATCTTGCAGTCTAACTGATACTTTATATTCTATTCATGGAACACCCAGTGTGGTTATGTTGAAAAAGTCTTTGTCTGCTCCCACGCTTGATACATGCAGCAGCTCCTTAGATGGCTAAGATCCGGAGCGGCCTTCATTCATCCTTCATCATTAATATTCTAAGATCGAAATTCTCTTATTCCAGTAAGACTCCATGAGATTCGTTAACTGCTTACTGTCATGGAGCGGCTGGAAGACCAGAAACAGTGAGAGCAAACATCTCGGCTCCATACGTAGCACCTTTGAACAGCGACTCGATTTGAGACAGGATTTTGTAACTGCAAGGAGCAATCTATATGTAGACGGAAGTACAAACATTT